TGGGGCCTCCCCAGCCGCGCCCAGTGCCCCCTCCGCCCCGACGATTTTATTTATTGCGACGCACCCCCCCCCCAGTGGGACTTCCCGAGCCCCCCGGCGGTCCCCAGCGCCCCCGAGTGGGGCCTCCCCCGCCGCGCCCAGTGCCCCCTCCGCCGCCGACGATTTTATTTTTCGCGGCGCACCCCTCCCCCCCACCAGTGGGACCTCCCCAGCGCTCCCCAGCGGCCCCCAGCGCTCCCAAGTGGCGCCTCCCCAACCGCTCCCAGCGCCCCCTCCGCCCCGACGATTTTTATTTTCGCGACGCACCCATCCCCCCCCCAAGTGGGCCCCTCCATGCGCCCCCCAGTGTCCCAGCGCCCCACGTTCGGGGCCCGTCGCCAGCCGCGCCGTGCCCCCTCCGCCCCGACGATTTTATTCTTCGCGACGCACCCCTCCCCCCCCCAGTGTGACCTCCCCAGCGCCCCCCCAGTGGTCCCCAGCGCCCCCCAGTCGGGCCTCCCCAGCCGCGCCCAGTGCCCCCTCCGCCCCGGCGATTTTATTTTTCGCGACGCACCCCTCCTCCCCCCAGTGGGACCTCCCCAGCGCTCCCCAGTGGTCCCCAGCGCCCCCCAGTGGGGTCTCCCCAGCCGTGCCCAGTGCCCCCTCCGCCCCGGCGATTTTATTTTTCGCGACGCACCCCTCCTCCCCCCAGTGGGACCTCCCCAGCGCCCCCCAGTGGTCCCCAGCGCCCCCCAGTGGGGCCTCCCCAGCCGCGCCCAGTGCCCCCCTCCGCCCCCGCGATTTTATTTTTCGCGACGCCCTCACATGCCCCCCCAGTGGGACCTCCCCAGCGCCCCCCAGTGGTCCCCAGCGCCCCCCAGTCGGGCCTCCCCAGCCGCGCCCAGTGCCCCCTCCGCCCCGGCGATTTTATTTTTCGCGACGCACCCCTCCTCCCCCCAGTGGGACCTCCCCAGCGCTCCCCAGTGGTCCCCAGCGCCCCCCAGTGGGGTCTCCCCAGCCGTGCCCAGTGCCCCCTCCGCCCCGGCGATTTTATTTTTCGCGACGCACCCCTCCTCCCCCCAGTGGGACCTCCCCAGCGCCCCCCAGTGGTCCCCAGCGCCCCCCAGTGGGGCCTCCCCAGCCGCGCCCAGTGCCCCCCTCCGCCCCCGCGATTTTATTTTTCGCGACGCACCCCTCCCCCCCAGTGGGATCTCCCAAGCGCCCCCCAGTGGTCCCCAGCGCCCCCCAATGGGGCCTCCCCAGCCGCGCCCAGTGCCCCTCCGCCCCGGCGATTTTATTTTTCGCGACGCACTCCTCCCCCCCCCAGTGGGACCTCCCCAGCGCCCCCCAGTCTGGACTGTGGGAGAGGCCCCTATTCAAGTGGCGCATAGCCGGCCCCTGAGAATACACCCGACAGACTGTGTGCAAAACGCCTGCCGTAGACAAGCGTTCCCAGCACAAGGCCGCAACGCACTTTGCACCGCGAGCCTCCAACAGCTAGGTCACCAGAGTAATTTCTTCCGGCCCTCCTTGGACCCTGGAGGCCTACTCTTGGAACCCTCTGTAGGCTTCTCGGGTGTCTGTTGGAGGCTTCCTGGGAACCTGTTAAAGGTCTTTGGGTCCATCTTGCGGGGGGCGCCCCTTGACGTCTCTTCGAGCTCGCCCTCTGGACCTCCTCTTGCGGCCTTGTTTGTTCACTCCTTGTGCGATGTCTGGCCCCCTCCTCCCCCCTCCTCCTCCACCTCCTCCTCCTCCTCCCCCTTCCTTTTTGTGCAAGAGCCATGGCACACGTGCCACTTGTTATTATTATTATTATTATTAGTAGTAGTAGTAGTAGTAGTAGTAGTAGTAGTAGTAGTAGTAGAAGTAGTAGTAGTAGTAGTAGTAGTAGTAGTAGTAGTAGTAGTCGTCGTCGTAGTAGTAGTAGTAGTAGTAGTAGTAGTAGTAGTAGTAGTAGTAGTAGTAGTAGTAGTAGTAGTAGTAGTAGTAGTAGTAGCAGCAGCAGTAGTAGTACTGGTAGTAGTGGTAGCAGTAGCAACCACATTTTGAAAACGAACCGCCCTCAATCCGTGAAGCTCTTGCAACGTTTTTCAACCGAATGTGTGTGGCGCTTAGGCGAGAGCCACACCTTGAAAACGAGCCACCCTCAATCCGTGAAGCTCTTGCAAGTGTTTGAAACGAACGTGCGTGGCGCTAGAGCGAGCGCCACATTTTGAAAACGAGCCGCTTTCAATCCGTGAAACTATTGTGCAAGCTTTTCAACCGAATGCGCGCGGCGCTCAGGCGAGAACTACATCAGCATCAACGTGCCGGAATAACGCTTCCCGGCGCGGGATTCGTTTTATATCTTTTTGCCGAGGGGGGGTCTGAAATATTTTCTGGGGTTGCACTTGGTATATTCCTATGGGAACCGAATTGAAATTTCATTGGGGTGGAACGGAACCCATATTCAGATGGTAAAAGTTCGATTCTTGTTGGGACCGAATAACCGAAGTGGAATTGGGCACATCCCAGATCCAGCTGATTCAGAATGGCTTCTTATGGAAATCTATCCAGCATCGAATTAAAACCGTGCAGGTTCCGATCCAGCGGATTCCAAATAGTTGTTCCTTTTGACATCGAGTTAGAATCGAGTTAGAATTGAGCAGGTCCTGGATCTAGCTGATTCAGATTCGATATTATTGGAATCTTGCCAGATTCTACTTGAAACGGAGCAGATCCCATATCCAGTTGATTCTAGTTGGGTTCCTCTTGGGGATATGATTAAATCTCACCTAAGAGGAGCAGTTCCCAGATCCAGTTGTTTCTAGTTCGATTTCCATGGGAGCCGAACTAGAACTTCATTCGCAGTGTGTGCATTCCAGATCCAGGTGATTCAAATTGGATTCCGATTGGAATATATGTTTCGTGTCTTATTGGAATGGAGCAGACCACATATCCAGCTGATTCCAAATATGTTGGTATTACAACGAGACTAGAATCTAGTTGAAATTGAGCAGATCACAGATCCAGCTGATTTCAATATGCTTCTTATTCAGTTAGAATGAGAATCTAATTGGATTGGGCCAGATCAGAGATACAGCTGATTGGAAGCTTATTCCGATTGAGCTTCCATCGGGGCGCGTTGGAATTGGGCAGATCCCTGATCTAGCTGTGTCAAGTAGGATTCGTATCGAAGGCGAGTTAACATCTTATTAGAAGCAGATCCCATTTCAAGTGATTTCAGCTTGATCCCACCACAAGAAACAGCGGATAAATGACGATGAGCAGACACGGATGACAAGAAGGCGGATGATAAGTAGGAGTACGAATGAAGAGCTCAACGACCGATACAACATGAGTGGGTGCTGCTTGGGGGGTCTGCGCAGATACATGTGTATATCTCTCTCTATATACATATATATGACAATTAGGTATATAGATGTACACATCTGTATATGTATACGTTTACACATATATCTATATATATATATATATATATATATATATACATATACATTACAAACCTACGCATTTACACATACATACAGATGTGTGTATGTATGCAAACCTGTTATTTCAAATTACCCAGTGCCTGCCAAGGGTGACCCGCGGCGGACCAGCGGTCCCAGATCATCCGCGACCAGAAATTTCCGGTAACGGATTTTGATCGTGCCAAATTTCGGTCGCGACCAGAGGAGGTCGAATTTCGGTAACGAGAAGACGGCGCGTCGGGATCCAAGCGAGGGTTTCGATGACGTCGACGGCTCGCTCGTTATCAGAATTCGCGGCCAGAGGCCGAATTTCGATCGCGACCGTTTCGTCCAGAGCGGTTCCAGAAGTGTCCCGTAACGGAAGATTTGGAGTGGCGGACTGCGGTCGAAAGCAAAGAATTACACAAGACGTTCCCAACCCCTCCTCGCTGCGAGGCGATTGCTTATTTATGTGAAGGTCCCATACAGAAAGAACACCCTGCGAGGACAACCTGCGCCGCTGGGCCTCCCAGGAACCCACGAAGGTGGGGACAGCTGCGCAGATGACAGCCTCCCAGGCAGCCCCTGGGGAAACCAGCAGATCCCGATACAGTCGGGGCCCTGAAGAAGGAAATCCTAAGGTTTTCCTTTTGTTTTCGATCGTAAATCAAAGTTTAACTTATGGAAAAAAGGGGCCTCCTTCCTTATTTGGGGTTCCTTAGGTCAAGGCCCCGTCTGTACCGCTACTCCCAGGACCTCTTCTCGAGGCGAATCCGGCGGTGGCGACGAGGGCCTCCCAGGAGGCGCACAGAGGCGGAAACGATAAAAGCGGCATCGGTACCTTCTCTTCCGCCGAGCCCTCCCCCCCCCGGCGAGGCGCTGGCCGACGTTCTGGCGACGGAGGCGGCCGGCGGCGGCGGCGTCGCGGCGAGGCTGGCGGCGCCTTCGCCGGAGGACGCCGCGGACGCCCGGCGGTTGCTGGAGGAGGTCCTCTGCGGGAGCGGGGTCGCGGGGCGGGCCTCCGTGGTCCTCGGGGTCCTCGTTACCCCCCGGCTCCTTCCTCTTGGCATCGCTCGGGCGTGCGATTTTTTTCCTCCGCGAGGACCATCGAAGAGCATCCTGGATCATCTGGCAAAGAAAGCACGCACGAGACCGACGCATGCACGGGGAAAGGACGTCCGAGCGGCGGCAAGCCCTGCTCTTCCCTGCTCCTCCCCTCCGAGGCGGGGGTGAATCCATGACCATCTCCTGGGGATCGATCACTGCGGACCTCCACGGGCGGTGTGACATTGCTATATTCGGGCCCTCGGGGGCCAGAAGATGTCCATATCCACCGCCCGCTGGGGCACCAGGACGTCGGCTCCTTCCTGCTCCTCCCTTCTAGGCCTCCCACACGGGGTCGGAGTAGATGGGGTCGGAGGACCGTGCCGCATCGCCGATGCATCGCCGATGCATCGGCGATGCGACTCGATGTGGAACCCGGTTTTCTTTACGCCGACGTCGCCGGTGCATCGCTGACGTCGCCGATGCGTCGCCGATGCAGCATCGATACAGAAGCGATGCGGTGCAGTCCTCCGAACCCATTCGCGATGCAACCTGGGTGCAGCCTGTGTGATGCAGTCTGCGCGGTGAAATATATGTGGTGCAACGTATGCGATGCAGCCAATGTAATGCAATTTTTGTGTGGTGCAATGTGCGCTCTGCAACCTATGCAATGCAATCCATGCAGCGCGATCTGTGTGTTGCAGTGTATGCGATGCGGTCTATGTGATGCACTTTATGCGGTGCAATCTATGTGGTACAAAGTGTGCGATGCAACCTATGTAATGCAATCTGTGCGGTGCAATGCATGCGATGCGGCGGCGGCGACGGGCGGCAACGGGCGGCACGGGCGGCGACGGGCGGTGACGCCGACGGGCGACGGGCGGCGACGGGCGGCACGGGCGGCGACGAGAAAGGTCCAGATCCCAACCGGACGGTTCAGATCCCAGCAGGACGGTTCAGATCCCAACCGTCAAGGGCACGTGGGACGGGTGAGATCCCAACCGCTTTGGAGCCTCCGAAAAGCTCCGAGCCTCTACAAGGTTCTGGGAGCCTCTGGGAGCCTCTGAGACCCTCTGCGAGGTTCTGGAGCCTCCTGGACGCCTCTGAGAGCCCCTGAGAGATCCTGCAAGGTTCTGAGAGCCTCTGAGAGATTCTGCAAGGTTCTGAGAGCCTCTGAGAGCCTCTGAGAGATCCTGCAAGGTTCTGGGAGCTTCTGAGAGCCTCTGCGAGATTCTGCACGGTTCTGGGAGCCCCTGAGAGCCTCTGAGAGATTCTGCAAGGTTCTGGGAGCCTCTGAGAGCCTCTGAGAGGTTCTGCAAGGTTCTGGAGCCTCCTGGACGCCTCTGAGAGCCTCTGGGAGATTCTGCAAGGTTCTGACAGCCTCTGAGAGCCTCTGAGAGATTCTGAAAGGTTCTGAGGGCCTTTGAGAGCCTCTGAGAGATTCTGCAAGGGTCTGAGAGCCTCTGAGAGCTTCTGAGAGATTCTGCAAGGTTCTGAAAGCCTTTGAGAGCCTCTGAGAGATTTTGCAAGGTTCTGAAAGCTTCTGAGAGCCTCTGAGACCCTCTGCAAGGTTCTGAGAGCCTCCGAGAGATTCTGCAAGGTTCTGAGAGCCTCTGACAGCCTCTGAGAGATTCTGCAAGGCTCTGAGAGGTTCTCTGCCTCTGGGAGGTTCTGAGAGCCTCTGGGAGGTTCTAAGAGAGGTTCTGAGAGGAGGAGGAGGAGGAGGAGGAGGAGGAGGAGGAGGAGGAGGAGGAGGAGGAGGAGGAGGAGAGGCGATCTCGGGGGCCCCCCTGGGCACCATTGGGCGCTTGCTCGGCCGTCTTGGGGCCCACTGGGGTCATCTTAGGGGCAGCTTTGGGGCCTGTGTCGGCCATTTTGGACGCTATTCGGATCGACGCGGCGAGTTTGCTAAACATGTGCGCTTATCCACTGAATTGGGGCGATGTTTGCCCCGCGGGGCCCTCTTGGAACTCTTTTGGTTGCACTCGTGAAATCGGCACGGCATACCCCCACGCGGGGTTGCTCGTGTTCGGCCAACGTGACATATTATAACAGAACGCATGTATTCCTACACTTGCCACCGTAAGCAGTACTACACTTAGTACTAGCATCTCGCACTACTAGTACGAGTAGTACTTCGGCTACGTGTATGTATGCTGCTGCAACTGCTGTCGTTCTCGATCGTCTCACTTTAGTTGTGGTTTTTATTGTCGTTGGCGCTGTGAGTTGGAACGTTTACTACTACAGCCGCTAGTACGACCTATCGTTTGTATTACTACGACTACTGATGCGAATCGTACTACTGCTAATACGACTGAAACTAACACTACTATTGCGACGACTACTACTACTACTACTACTACTACTACTACTACTACTACTACTACTGCTACTACTACTACTACTACTACTACTACTACTACTACTACTACTACTACTACTACTACTACTACTACTACTACTACTACTACTACTACTACTACTACTACTACTACTACTACTACTACTACCACTACTACTACTACTACTACTACTACTACTACTACTACTACTACTACTACTACTACTACTACTACCTACTACTACTACTACTACTACTACTACTAATAACTACTACTACTACTACTACTACTACTACTACCACTACTTGTGTTACGACCACACTGCTACGACTAAGATGGATACTTTACTACTACTACTTACTACTACTCCTACTACTACTAATACTAACTACTACTACTATAATAATACTACTTACTTACTACTACTTTCACACTACTACATACTACTACTTAATACTACTACTGAAATGCTGCGGCATTACTACTAATAATACTAATACTAACGCTACTGCTACCTTTTTTCTTTTGCTTTTTTTTATTGCTACTGCTACTATTCCTACTACTACTACTACTACTACTACTGCTACTACTTCTTCTACTACTACTACTACTACTACTACTACTACTACTACTATTACAACTACTACTTCCACTACTACTACTACTAATACTAATGCTACTTCTACTTCTAGTCATATTATTCCTATTATTCTTGATACCACCACTACTACTACTACTACTACTACTACTACTACTACTACTACTACTACTACGACTACTACTACTACTACTACTACTACTACTACTACTACTACTACCACCACTAGCACTACACTACCACTACTTTTACTACTACAGTGGGCGGACAAAATATCGCAAGTTCTATGATCGTTCCGAGAAACAAGATGACAATTTTGATCATATTCCATCGATATCCGAGGAGCTCCCCTTCCCCCGTATTTCAATGCTGACTTGCATTATTTTGTCCTCCCGGACTTGGGGTGCTCGCTCGATGCCAACATTGAAATTTAGGGGGCGGGGGCGTTTTGTTTAGGTGGCGTCGCAATGTCGGCGCGGCCGTACGCGGCCAGGAGCAACTTGCAACATTTCGTCGTCCCACCGATGGAAGCACATACTTTTCTATGACTCGAAGTGCACGGCATCTAACAATCATGCACCTCGTCAGCCCCAGTTCCCAGCACTCGAAGTCCTTGTCGCCAGCGCTGCGCCGGGCGTACTCCAGCAAGAAGCGCTTCCCGGTTCTGGGGGGCAGCGACTCCTTCGGGGCGCAGGAGCGCAGCGCAGACAAAGTTCGACAATTCCATCGAGGCGCTGCCTTTTTCCGAGGCGCTCGCCAGACATCAGCCCGTTTAATTGCGGCTTCTGGGGTTGCGTCAACCGCCGCCTCCGCAAGCAGCAGGAGGCCCTCCTGCTCGCCTGGTAAGAGGAAAGCCAGGGCCCAGTTCGCGGCGCGCCTCAGGCGGGCTCTCCAGCGCGTGCCCGAGCCCATCTCTGGTGAAGTCCATGGGCCGGCGCTGCAAGGCCCTCCAGCGCGTAAAGGGGAAGGACTTCGAGGAGCGATGCCCTGCGCGCCCCGCGCGGCTGCCGACGCCGCGAAACGCGGCCCCTTGTCCGCCGGCGGCCCGCCGCCGAGGACACGGGGAACATGCGAAGTTCATGCCCAGTCGCCGCGGTGGGGCGCCGGGTCTTCGGGCCAGCCGCCCACCAGCCATATGAGTATAATTTCTTGAGTTGTATTTTTCCCGACTGGCAGCCGATCTTGACGCGCGCTCGCAATGGCCTTCCCTGAGTAAACATCCTGTCGCAGGGCCCTTTTGCCCATCTAAGCGCTGGCGTGCTCAGCCGAGGCCTGTCGGCTCATCCGCGGTGGGTGCCCGACGGGCATGAGTTGGTGCGGAGTGACGGTGACCTCCTGTCAGCTATTTCCAGGCCAGCGCCAGGGCCGCGCTCGGGCTGCGCCTGGAGCGCGAGCGGCAGCCCCTGGGCCCGCGCGCGGACTTGCGCGCGGCTCGGCGCGGCAGGCTCGTGCTGGCGACGCGGCGCGTGGCCTGCCAGAGCAGGGGGCGGCGACAGGGCGGCCCCGCGCCCGCCGCGCTTGCATTTGCCTCATTTGAAAACTCCAGTGCTATTTGAATACCTATTTGAATACCTATTTGAATACCTATATGAAAACTGCAGCTATATGGGGATTTGCATTTGCTACGCGCGAATAGTAGAGTGAAAAAGAAGGTATTTTCTTTCTTTCTATTTTCAAGTTTCAAATCGGTTCCCCCCCATATAACTGAGGTATTCAAATAGGTATTCAAATAGGTATTCAAATAGTATTCCAATGTACTGGGAGTATTCAAATAGGCCAGATGCAGGCGCCGCGCGCGCCCCGCCACCCCGTCGTCGCCTGGCGCGCCCTGCCCCGCTGCGCGGCCGCGTGCCAGCGCCGGGCGACGTTCGGCACAAAGCCTGGGCAGTGCCCAGCGCAGCCATGGGTGCGCCTGGCGATGCGATCGCAGCGAGGGCCGCGCAGGTCCTCGTCGCGGCCCACGATCGGCCTGGCGCGGGCCAGGCGCGACGCGGGCTCGGCGCTGCTCGCCGGGCGAAGGCGAAGCCCAAAAAATTTTATTTATATATATATAATATTATATATATATATATTATAATGTTCTGGTTTTGCTTGCGCAGCGGAGGCAGCCAGCGCAGCCAGCTCAGGTCTGCAGCGGACGCGTCCCCGAGCTCAATAGATTGCAGTCCCGTCCAGTCAGCCCTGCGCAGGTGCGCCCAGGTCAGCCCAACTCGAACAGCTGGTCCACGCTCAGACATCAGCGAGGCGTGAAACCTTCGGTCCAGTGGCGGCTCGGCTCCGGCTCGCACCCTGTTCGAAGCTCGGCAGTCGACCTTCGACCGAACGTCGACCCTGTACCCTTGATCTTCCTCGCCATCATCCTTCCCCCAGTTCTCCGAGTCCCCCGCCCTCCGCGTCAGCCTTCACCCTGCAGGGGGATGACAAACGCGATGGAAGCACAGACTTTTCTATGACTCGAAGTGCACGGCATCTAACAATCATGCACCTCGTCAGCCCCAGTTCCCAGCACTCGAAGTCCTTGTCACCAGCGCTGCGCCGGGCGTACTCCAGCAAGAAGCGCTTCCCGGTTCTGGGGGGCAGCGACTCCTTCGGGGCGCAGGAGCGCAGCGCAGACAAAGTTCGACAATTCCATCGAGGCGCTGCCTTTTCCGAGGCGCTCGCCAGACATCAGCCCGTTTAATTGCGGCTTCTGGGGTTGCGTCAACCGCCGCCTCCGCAAGAAGCAGGAGGCCCTCGTGCTCGCCTGGTAAGAGGAAAGCCAGGGCCCATTTCGCGGCGCGCCTCAGGCGGGCTCTCCAGCGCGTGCCCGTGGCCATCTTGACTCCTCTGGTGAAGTCCATGGGCCGGCGCTGCAAGGCCCTCCAGCGCGTGAAGGGGAAGGACTTCGAGGAGCGATGCCCTGCGCGCCCCGCGCGGCTGCCGACGCCGCGAACACGCGGCCTTCCGCTGGCGGCCCGCCGCCGAGGACACGGGGAACATGCGAAGTTCATGCCCAGTCGCCGCGGTGGGGCGCCGGGACTTCGGGCCAGCCGCCCACCAGCCGTATGAGTGTAATTTCTTGAGTTGTATTTTTACCGACTGGCAGCCGATCTTGACGCGCGCTCGCAATGGCCTTCCCGGAGTAAACATCCTGTCGCAGGGCCCTTTTGCCCATCTAAGCGCTGGCGTGCTCAGCCGAGGCCTGTCGGCTCATCCGCGGTGGGCGCCCGACGGGCATGAGTTGGTGCGGAGTGACGTTGACCTCCTGTCAGCTATTTCCAGGCCGGCGCCAGGGCCGCGCTCGGGCTGCGCCTGGAGCGCGAGCGGCCGCCCCTGGGCCGCGCGGCGGACTTGCGCGGGCTCGGCGCGGCAGGCTCTGCCTGGGCGATGCTGGCGCGTGGCCTGCTCAGAGCAGCGGGCGGCGACAGGGCGGCCCCGCGCCCGCCGCGCTTGCATTTTCCTCATTTGAAAACTCCAGTGCTATTTGAATACCTATTTGAATACCTATTTGAATACCTATATGAAAACTGCAGATATATGGGGATTTGCATTTGCTACGCGCGAATAGTGGAGTTAAAAAAGAATGTATTTTCTTTCTTTCTATTTTCAAGTTTCAAATCGGTTCCCCCCATATAATTGAGGTTTTCAAATAGGTATTCAAATAGGTATTCAAATAGGTATTCAAATAGTATTCCAATGTACTGGGAGTATTCAAATAGGCCAGATGCAGGCGCCGCGCGCGCCCCGCCACCCCGTCGTCGCCTGCGCGCCCTGCCCGCGTGCCAGCACCGGGCGACGTTCGGCACAAAGCCTGGGCAGTGCCCAGCGCAGCCAAGGGTGCGCCTGGCGATGCGATCGCAGCGAGGGCCGCGCATGTCCTCGTCGCGGCCCACGATCGGCCTGGCGCGGGCCAGGCGCGACGCGGGCTCGGCGCTGCTCGCCGGGCGAAGGCCCCAATATATTGTTCTGTTTTGCTTGCGCAGCGGAGGCAGCCCAGCGCAGCCCAGCTCAGGTCTGCGCGGCCCAATCCACCCGAGCTCAATATATTGCAGTCCCGTCCAGGTCAGCCCTGCGCAGGTGCGCCCAGGTCAGCCCAACTCGAACCAGCTGGGTCCAGCTCAGACATCAGCGAGGCGTGAACCCTTCGGTCCAGTGGCGGCTCGGCCCGGCTCCGGCTCGCACCCTGTTCGAAGCTCGGCAGTCGACCTTCGACCGAACGTCGACCCTGTACCCTTGATCATCCTCGCCATCATCCTTCCCCCAGTTCTCCGAGTCCCCCGCCCTCCGCGTCAGCCTTCACCCTGCAGGGGGATGACAAACGCAGTGGGCGGACAAAATATCGCAAGTTATATGATCGTTCCGAGAAACAAGATGACAATTTTGATCATATTCCATCGATATCCGAGGAGCTCCCCTTCCCCCGTATTTCAATGTTGACTTGCATTATTCTGTCCTCCCGGACTTGGGGTTCTCGCCCGATGCCAACATTGAAATTTAGGGGGCGGGGGCGTTTTGTCGAGGTGGCGTCGCAATGTCGGCGCGGCCGTACGCGGCCAGGAGCAACTTGCAACATTTCGTCGTCCCACCGATGGAAGCACAGACTTTTCTATGACTCGAAGTGCACGGCATCTAACAATCATGCACCTCGTCAGCCCCAGTTCCCAGCACTCGAAGTCCTTGTCGCCAGCGCTGCGCCGGGCGTACTCCAGCAAGAAGCGCTTCCCGGTTCTGGGGGGCAGCGACTCTTTCGGGGCGCAGGAGCGCAGCGCGGACCAAGTTCGACAATCTATCGAGGCGCTGCCGTTTTCCGAGGCGCTCGCCAGACATCAGCCCGTTTAATTGCGGCTTCTGGGGTTGCGTCAACCGCCGCCTCCGCAAGCAGCAGGAGGCCCTCGTGCTCGCCTGGTAAGAGGAAAGCCAGGGCCCATTTCGCGGCGCGCCTCAGGCGGGCTCTCCAGCGCGTGCCCGAGGCCATCTTGACTCCTCTGGTGAAGTCCATGGGCCGGCGCTGCAAGGCCCTCCAGCGCGTAAAGGGGAAGGACTTCGAGGAGCGATGCCCTGCGCGCCCCGTGCGGCTGCCGACGCCGCGAACACGCGGCCTTCCGCTGGCGGCCCGCCGCCGAGGACACGGGGAACATGCGAAGTTCATGCCCAGTCGCCGCGGTGGGGCGCCGGGACTTCGGGCCAGCCGCCCACCAGCCGTATGAGTGTAATTTCTTGAGTTGTATTTTTCCCGACTGGCAGCCGATCTTGACGCGCGCTCGCAATGGCCTTTCCGGAGTTCACATCCTGTCGCAGGGCCCTTTTGCCCATCTAAGCGCTGGCGTGCTCAGCCGAGGCCTGTCGGCTCATCCGCGGTGGGCGCCCGACGGGCATGAGTTGGTGCGGAGTGACGTTGACCTCCTGTCAGCTATTTCCAGGCCGGCGCCAGGGCCGCGCTCGGGCTGCGCCTGGAGCGCGAGCGGCCGCCCCTGGGCCGCGCGGCGGACTTGCGCGGGCTCGGCGCGGCAGGCTCTGCCTGGGCGATGCTGGCGCGTGGCCTGCTCAGAGCAGCGGGCGGCGACAGGGCGGCCCCGCGCCCGCCGCGCTTGCATTTGCCTCATTTGAAAACTCCAGTGCTATTTGAATACCTATTTGAATACCTATTTGAATACCTATATGAAAACTGCAGCTATATGTGGATTTGCATTTGCTACGCGCGAATAGTAGAGTTAAAAAGAATGTATTCTTTATATCTACTTTCAAGTTTCAAATCGGTTCCCCCCATATAACTGAAGTTTTCAAATAGGTATTCAAATAAGTATTCAAATAGGTATTCAAATAGTATTCCAATGTACTGGGAGTATTCAAATAGGCCAGATGCAGGCGCCGCGCGCGCCCCGCCACCCCGTCGTCGCCTGGCGCGCCCTGCCCCGCTGCGCGGCCGCGTGCCAGCACCGGGCGACGTTCGGCACAAAGCCTGGGCAGTGCCCAGCGCAGCCAAGGGTGCGCCTGGCGATGCGATCGCAGCGAGGGCCGCGCATGTCCTCGTCGCGGCCCACGATCGGCCTGGCGCGGGCCAGGCGCGACGCGGGCTCGGCGCTGCTCGCCGGGGGGCGAAGCGAAGCCCCAATATAAAAATTCTGTTTGCTTGCGCAGCGGAGGCAGCCCAGCGCAGCCCAGCTCAGGTCTGCGCGGCCCAATCCACCCGAGCTCAATATATTGCAGTCCCGTCCAGGTCAGCCCTGCGCAGGTGCGCCCAGGTCAGCCCAACTCGAACCAGCTGGGTCCAGCTCAGACATCAGCGAGGCGTGAACCCTTCGGTCCAGTGGCGGCTCGGCCCGGCTCCGGCTCGCACCCTGTTCGAAGCTCGGCAGTCGACCTTCGACCGAACGTCGACCCTGTACCCTTGATCATCCTCGCCATCATCCTTCCCCCAGTTCTCCGAGTCCCCCGCCCTCCGCGTCAGCCTTCACCCTGCAGGGGGATGACAAACGCAGTGGGCGGACAAAATATCGCAAGTTATATGATCGTTCCGAGAAACAAGATGACAATTTTGATCATATTCCATCGAAGAGCTCCCCTTCCCCCGTATTTCAATGTTGACTTGCATTATTTTGTCCTCCCGGACTTGGGGTGCTCGCTCGATGCCAACATTGAAATTTAGGGGGCGGGGGCGTTTTGTCGAGGTGGCGTCGCAATGTCGGCGCGGCCGTGCGCGGCCAGGAGCAACTTGCAACATTTCGTCGTCCCACCGGAAGGGGCATGACGGAGAGGAAGAGCACGCTGAGGAGGAGAGCGAGCAGGGGGGTGAGGGGGGAGAGAGAGAGAGAGAGAGAGAGAGAGAGAGAGATAATATCACATCGCACTCAATAGTTCGGCATGTCGATCCGCATGCCGAGCCCCCTCCCCCACGCAATCCCATCTCATGCCACCCACCCGCAAGTGTGACTCCATCTGACAGGACCTGCCCCGCCAATCAACCACATCTATGTCTACAAAGTGGGGCGTCCCTGCAATGTGTAGAATTCTCAGGTGTGTAATAGCGAGAATATGACAATGCTATGGTTGGGCTAACCTATGCTAGCATGCATCCGTGCAACATTTTTTCGTGTGTCGTGGTCCGCTGTTACAGGTCATGCAACTATTTCAGCGGTGATAGCAGCTTGCTTTGCGCACTGTGGCAACGGCGCGCCTGCTTCTGGCACTGCTCCACGAGCCAGGCAGAGTTCGCGCTGTTCAGCTTGAAGGCGTCGCCGTGCGCGATCGTGCCCTGGGCGCAGGGCCGTGGCGCGGGGGTGGGGCGGCGGGTTAGCTGGGTGAAATGGCGACGCCGATAGGTTGATCAGGAGACGATCACGACAGCGACGGCATGGTGGTCGGGGAGAGGTGATGCATTGGCATCGTGTGTCAGACGACGTTTACATCGGAGCATGATGGGACATGTCAGGGCTATGAAGGGAACGCCTGCAGATGGTGCATGCGTGAGTGTGTGTAGGTAGACGTGGCTACTCATTGTATTTCGATATTGCGCATGCGTCTGCAACATGTGCATGCATCCCACACGTAGAACATTGTGCATGCGTCTGCACCATGTGCACGTATCATGCACAAAGAACGTTGTGATGCATGTCGCCAGTATGGTTGCCATTATCTTCGGCTTACACAATCTCAATGCGCGCGCGTGGTCATCGTTGCGCGTCCCCATCCCAACCCATTCACCACGCGCGCGTGGATTAAGGTTCTCATTCGCGTCGCTCACACAATAGTCCTGCCAGTATTGCCCGACCGCTGTTCTCTCACATGTCATCGTCCTCATCTCCTCCCACCCCCCCCCTCCCGCTCCCCAGCCATCCCCATTTCATGCACTCATAGGCAGAAAAGGAAATGCTCGCCTTGTGGCACAGCGCCACGATCCACTCGGGGGCGCCGTTGTTCAGCCCCACGGGTTCCATGGCTCCGTCGCCCTACGGTTGGAGAACTCAACCGAACCATAAAAGCTGCTGCGGGGGGTTAGAACAGCCTGAATCTGCACACATAGGAATATCGACTCCTCGAACGTCGACCTGCGGGCCCGCTGAGCACAGTTTCGGAGAACAAGATTCAGGGACTCGTCCAAGAAGGTCGAATAGAATTTATTATTCCCCATCCATTTGCTCCTGGCAACGCGACTGGCAAGACTGATTGCTGCGGGGGCAAACATTTTGTCATTTTGGTTGTGAGCGGGCGGGGGACTGGAATCTTCGAACCAGTGGTTGAACAACACGTGTTGTTCAACCACTGGTCAGAATATTCCACCCCCCCGCCCGCCCCATCAATTCATTGCATATGTGCAACTAATAAACACACAAGGGGTATATACATGGGAGGTAGTTTCTCGCGCAATCAGTCCTGCTAGTCCCGTGGGCAAAGAGGTGGTGCTTCGGCGCAACTGAGATCTCTGCATCAGCTGAATACAAGAGCACTTTCCTGCAACTGTCCATTGCTTTCTGATGTTGGGGGGGTGGTGAGCACAACATATGCATTCTCATACACGTCGAGCCAATCATGCAAAGCAGTCGCAACTTTCAGGAGGGGTTCCAGGAGGCGCAATCCCGCTCCGTGCCCTTCAAGTTCCCACCGCGTGAAATCCATAAGAATTCGTGTTTCAGCTGCTTTCGCTTTCAACGTTGTTCCAGGGTGCAGGGTGCTAATACCGCCCATCATACCACGATCTGACCCGAGCATTTTGATGGTAAGCCCCCCTAATCTGCGATCGTGCGGCATGTTATTTTGGTGAAACCATGTGAACATGTCAGCTTCCAATATTTGACAACACTTTGTATACACAGTGTCCTTGACCCCCGTGTATTTCCAAGGGTTCAATTTGATCAACCGCCAATGCCCAGCACTTGCCCACCGAGTAATTGGCCCGTAGTATACAGTGTGCAAGCTGTCAACGGCCATGGAGGTCGCGGGGCTGGTGCCCCAACCTGTTTTGAACAAGGGACACCGGTGGGTCACTGAGTCAATTGGCCTGCCGCTCTCGTCCTTGTGTACTCTCCAGAACACGGCGATACCCCTCCACCCTATGTGATCGATGTTTCTAATGTTAACCATTCCTAGGTGAGGCTCAAGACGGTCACCGCCCTGGAGGCCAAGGTCGACGAGGTCATATTTCAAGGCTCGGCCGTGGTTGCCAGCTCCTTTCTTGGATTTGTAATATGCAAGAGCGCGCACGATGCGAACGCGAATGTCCTCCGAATCAACTGTAATCCGTATTTCGCATTTTTGGCATGCTTGTTCATAGTCCAGTGCTGCCTTGTTCGGGAAACATATCATGTCATTACACATGCTTCCATAACATTCGCGCATGTTCGCCTTGTCTGTCCAACACAAGGGACAGGGATTCATGGGCCGCCCCCAGGACCCCAATCCAAACGTTTTCGCGAACTCGCTCCAGTCCCCCTTGAGATACAACAGCATACATCGAAACCCAAACTCGGGTTTCTCATCGGTCGTGCCGTGATATTCACCATCACCCCAAGCAGAACCATCCCACTTTCTATCAGGCACGCGCCCCTTCACGAGCGCATCGATCACCCATGCGACGCACGTAAGGAAAGAAAACACTGAACACCACCCGTTACGACCGCAACGGCGCATGTCGAGTTGGCGCAACACTCCAATGACGTGGCGTTTTTCCGCCAAGAGGTTCGCGCACGTCGCCACCAATATACTGCCACTACGCCCAGCTTGCAAAGCTGTGAAACGCACCCCGTCCACATAGACGGCAAGAGGAAGCGGCAACCGACCAGTCTCTAATTCACATGATTGCGTCAATGGGTTCTCTGTATAACATGGCAGGTTCAATGGCGAGTTGAGGTCATCGGGGTCGCCCGTCGAAAGAAGATCCAACGCGCGAGGATTCTGGTCCATCTCCTTAACAATTGAAGCATACGTAAGCGTGAATGGCACATCCTGTGTAGTATGATGTGCGCGACCACGTACGCATGACGGTACAGACACACAAGTCGTAGGACACGCTTTTGGCAACATTTTTGTCAGGTGTGATTTGTATTTCCCCGACTGGTGACCAGGTGCCATTCCAAAATCCTTGAAATATGCACCCTCTGTGTTCGCCATGCCCAAATAATAACACATGATGCACACATCTTTCGCAGATACTGGGGCGCATTGTGAATACATATCTAGTAGCAGCTCAAACACCTTTGCACCTGCCTGCCGTGCATCAAATTTAGTGGCCTCTCCATCTGGATCAACGTGCCTACAGCGCCGTCTCTGGGGCGGTGGGTCCATATAAACAAAACAAAATGTAACATATCAGCTCAACGCACCAGTAAAACCATGAGCCGATACTCTGACTGATGGTATGGTTGTGCAACCTACACATCGGAATGATCGAGCACAGTTTTAGTGTTGTGCTATTGTGCACGTGGGAAGTTTGACAACGAGCGTACATGCGCGCATCATGTTACATGTATGGCGCACGTCATGTGCACATGCAGGAGAAGCAAGTATGTGCGAGTACTAAATCCCAGCACATGTGATCGTCGACTGGCATGTCAGTACATGTGAGCATCGTGCACAGTGCCTCACGCTTAAATGTTCAATGTAGTGCGCTGTCCGTTCGTTGCAAGCCACCGATGATATTCCATGTCGTATGCCAGGTTCATTGCATTGCGACTGCATTGGGTAAATTCACATCGTGCAGGTACTACGCGCGGTGGGAAAATTCACATCGTGCATGATTGTTTGACTGTGTTTTACCCACTGGATCGGCTCAAAAACCCCGTGGAGGCACTGGTAATGCCACAGGGTGACCGCACAGCGCGGCCCTACACTACTCATTTCTGCGGGTGCGACCCTGCGCCGCGCTCGCAAATGCACCCCGCCAGGGCCGACGCTCTGCAGTTACGACCGTCGCCAAACTCACGCAGGTATTTTACTATCTGGACACTGCATCGCTCCAGAAACCTGCTCGAATACGCTTGGGTGCAATGATAGACTCAAATCAAAGGATGCCACACATCACTGCAACTAAACTGAACTTGGTGGGTTTATTACGTTATTTCAAGACTCACCGCAAACTCACCGGGGACTCACCGGTAGTTCACCGGTGAGTTTGGTGAGTAAACTCACCGGTGAATTCACCGGTGAGTTCGTGGGAATGTGAGGATGTATCGAGCGGGAGCGTTCGGGTTCACCGCTGAACTCACCGATGAGTTCGGCTCACCGCTCACCCCAAACTCACCGGTACTTCACCGGTCGCTTTTTCGCTGATTTCTGTGAATATTAGAAAATATATGTTCACAATCGTTTGCTTCCACCAATTTCATCGATCGACCATCTTCGGTCGTCAGATTGTTTGCACCCGAGCTCAAAAAAAGCAAGTAATCACGCCCCACTGGCGCTGCGCTTTGCCGAAGGCTTCGCGGTTCCCTTCGGCTTCTTGGTCCCGTTCGGCTTCTTCTTCACGACCTCCGTGGTCTGCTTGTGCATGCGCTGGAGCTTGGTGACCTGGGCCTTCAGCTGCACGAGAGGCGCCTGGCATCGCGCGGGGTGGGTGCGTCGTCGGCATTATCACTGTCCACATTACCAACGTCACTATCGTTACTACGGACTTCATAAGTATCGATTGAAGCATCTGATGACGAGGTGATCGTTCATCATATCCGACTTCATCATGTTCGTTTTTCTGTGCCGACGTCGGTGGTGGCCGTCGTCATATCATCGCCGACGTCGTTGCCGTCTTCTCTCGTGTCTACGTCGTTACTGTCGTCTCTCGTGTCTCCGTCGCAAGGCCTTGAGGGCCTCAGTCCCTGCGCTGCACGCGACCAGCAACTTGTTGTCGCCCACGCGGTTCCTGACCGTGCTCATGTCGTCGACGGCCAGCAGCCCCTGGAGCATGGCTGCGTTCGCGACGGCCAGGTCGACCTCGCGAGTGCACGATTCGATCGATCGGGGCCATCGGTCGCGTCCGACTCGAGTTGGACCCGAATCGATCGATTCGGACGACACGAACC